CCGCTGCCTTGCCGCCGTCACTGAGAGAAATAGCTTAAGGCAGCCGTAGCCGTGCCTGGCTTTAGGACATCCCGAGTCCCAAATATCCTCAAACAAAATTAGCAGCACAGCAGGTTCGTCAGTGGTACCACGCCGTTCCGTTTTAGTTCATTCGCGAGCCCTTAGAGACCGCTACCTCTGCACTACGTGAGCCAAACGAAGAACGATCCACGCCCGGAGATCTCCCCGAGTGTTAGGAGCAGCGACAGCGGATGGCTATGTGGGAAACAGCAAGGAAACCCTAGGACGATTTTAGTCAGCAGGATGTACCCTGGTACCGGCGCAGCGGCAGCCTGGCCTTTAATGTGCCATTCGCCCCGCGGAACACGGGAGTTTGAAGGGAAAGGAACTCGTGAAATGTGAAGCTTAGGCCGACGTGCTGAGCCACAGGATCACGGACTCCGGCTGCAGCTGGAAGGCGGGATGGGCACGCAGAAGCGTAATCCCAGCGAGAACAACTCGAAGAGGGAATGGTTATGGAGAAGCTGAAAAAAAAATGCTTGGGATGGCAGATCAGCAGCTGAAAACACAAGGTCAGGGAATCTCGCAATTCCTTAGGTTAGAAGGACCTCTGGAGGACATCTCTTCCAACTCCAGCGACTGGTGGGGGGAGCAGAGGGAGGGCAATAACCCCCCAAGCTCAAAGCAGGCACAGCTGAAAGCGCTTGGGGTGTTTATCGCAGCGAATGCACGTTGGGGTGGAGGGCTACATCAGGCGGGGCAAATGCACATTGGGGTGGAGGGCTACATCAGGCGGCGGGATGCGCATGGCCGGTACGTGGTGGAAGGAACACAGACACCAATAAAAACGATTTGCAGACCAAGTCTGGCTTGTTCTGGGACTTTTGAAACATCTTTCCTGCTGTATTACAGAACCCAGAGCATCAGCGGGTTTCTGGAAAGCATAAAATACATTTAAGGTCACAGTTAATACTCATAACAATATGTTTCTGTATTACCCAAGTAAGGAACCATTTCCAGAAGTGAGGGGCATGTCTTTTCTGAAAGTCAAAAGGCTTGAAATCCTAATGTATTTGTGCATTTTTGCAGATGCCCTGGCTGGTTTGATCCACACAGGACAAGCTTTCTGTGCTCCTTCACCATCCTTGTTTAGTCTTAATTGATAAGAAGACATTCGCTTAACGTTCACATCTGCGAACGACACAAAGTGTAG